ATTTTTCCAAACCTCTTTTATGTTTCAATTTTTTTCTTGTTTTCCAATATCTCAAACCTTTTTGACATTTCACTTTAATTTTAAAACTTACCAATTTCGAAAAATTTTAATGGTTTAAATAATAAAATAAGTTCCACCTAATTTTCCAGTACTATTTTCTCTGATTTTATTTTTTGAAAATTTCATATTCTCAAACTTTTTCCAAGTTTCAAAAATTTCAAGTTTCTCCAACTCCTTTGACATTTCCCTTTAATTTCTCAAACTTTCATGTTTTCATAACTTTCCAATTTCTCAATCATTTTTGAGATTTCACTTTAAATTTTTTAACTTTTCAATTTCTTAAACTGATGTGAGTTAGACTTGTATTGCTTTTGCTTAATTTTCCTATCCTTCCAAGTTCTCAAACTTTTTTGAGATTTCACTTTAATTCTTTACACTTTCCAATTTCTCTAACTTCTTTGTGATTTCACTTTAATTTTAAAAAATTCCATATTCTCAAGGCTCTTTTCACCTTGACATAAGCTGACTTTTTTTTTCTTTTTTTGCTTTCTCTTAGTTCTCCAAACTTTTTTTTACTTCTCAATCTATTTTTTAAGATTTCCTTTTAGTTCAAAGTCAAACATTCCAATTTCTCGGCTTTTTTTAAAGATTTTATTTTAATTTTCAATCTTTCCAATTTATAAAACTTTTTTCATTTTTTAAAAAAATTCACTTTAATTTTTGAACTTTCCAATTTCTCAAACTTTGTTCAAAACCTTTTTTTTCGCTTTGACATAAGTTGACTTGTTTTGCGTTTCACTTACTTCTCTAACTAAACCTTATAAATTTTTTTGTCATTTCACTTTAATTTTCAAATTTCCCAATTTCTCAAACTTTCCAATTTTTGAAGTTTTTTTTTGAGATTTCACTTTAATTTCAAAATTTCGTATACTCAAAATCCTTTTTCATTTTGACATAAGTTGGCTTTTATTTTTTCCGTTTAGTTCTCTAAAATTTTCTATTTCTCAAACTCTTATTAAGATTTCACTTTAATTCAAAGTCAAACTTTCTAATTTCTCAACCTTCTTTTAAAGATTTTACTTTAATTTTCAATATTTGCAATTTCTAAAACTTTTGTCAATTTTTAAAGACTTCACTTTAATTTTCAAAATTTCCATTTCTTAAACTTTGTTCAATATCATTTTTTCCACTTTGACATAAGTTGACAATTTGACTTGTTTTGCATATCAATTAATTCTCTGAGCTTTACAATTTTTTTTGTCATTTCCCTTTAATTTTAAAATGTCCCAGTTCCTCAAACTTTCTTGTAGTTTTCAAACTTTACAATTTCTCAAACTTTGTGACAACTAACTTCTAATTTCAACTTTCCATTTTCTTCTAAAAGTTGTCAACTGTTTAAATAATGAAATGAACTCCCCTAAAATTTCAGATACCATTTTCACTTCTTTCATTTTTAATTTTTTTATCAAGTTTACCAATTTCTCAAACTTTTTTGACATTTCACTTAAATTTTAGAATTTTCCAATTTTGAAAAGATTTACACCGGTTTAAATAATAAAATAATTTCCACCAAATGTTCAAATACCATTTTCTAACATTTACATTTTTTAAACTTTCTATTTTCTGAAACTTTTTTTAAGTTTTCAAAAATTTCCAATTTCACAAACTTCTTTGACTTTTCCTTTTAATTTCTCAAACTTTCTTGTTTTCATAACTTTTTAATTTATCAAACTTTTGTAAGATTCGACACAAGTTGGTTCACTTAGCTATCCAAGCATTCAAAGTTCTCAAACTTTTTTTTGGCTTTCACTTAGTTTTCAAAGTTTTCTATTTCTCAATATTTTTTAAAGATTTCATTTTTGTTCAAACTTTCATTTCTCAACCTTTTTTTGAAGATTTTACTGTAATTGTCAAACATTCTAATTTCTCAAACTTCTTTAAATTTTTTTTCCACTTTGACTTAAGTTGACAAGTTGGCTTGTTTTGCATTTCATTTACTCTCTACACTTACAAACTTTTATGACATTTCACTTATATTTTAAAACTTTAGGCAATTTCTCAAACTTTCTTTGCGTTTTCAAACTTGCCAAATTTTTTGAACTTTTTTTTTCTACATTTGACTTCTATTTTAAAACTTTCCAATTTCTTTGAAAAGTTATCTATGGTTTATATAATAAAATCACCTCTATCAAATTTTCAGATATCATTTCACATGTTTACATTGATCTGAACCTTTTAAATTTTCAAATTTTTTTCAAGTTCTCAATTTTTTTTGGAATTTTAGTTTAGTCTAAAAGTTTCCAATTGCAAAAGTTTTCAATGGTTTAAGTAATAAAGTAACTTCCATTAAATTTCAAGTACCATATTCTCATGTTTTCAGTCTTTCTAACTTTCCATTTTTTTAAACTTTTTTTTAAAGTTTTAAATGCTTTCCAAATACCATATTTACATTTCTTTTCGGACTTTATATTTTCTCAAACTTTCAAATTTTAACAACTTTTTTTTTAGTTTTCATGCTTTCCCATTTTTCAAACTTTTTTATCATTAGACTTTTATTTTAAAACTTTCCATTTTTTTAAAAGTTGTCAATAGTTTATATGGCAAAATGACTGTCACATAATTTTTAAATAACATTTTCACATGTTTACAATTTTCCAAACCATTCAATTTTTCAAGCTTACCAATTTCTCAAAGTTTTTATGACATTTCACTTAAATTTCAAATTTTCCTATGTCAAAATTTTTTCAGCAATTTTAATTAAATTAACATCCAACGAATTTTAATATACCATTTTCAAACATTTACATTTGTCGAACTTTCCATTTTCTCCAATTCTTTTGACATTACACTTTTATTTCTCAAACTCTTTAAAGATTTCATTTTAATTTTCAAACTTTTCAATTAGTTGATTTGTTATGTTTTCACTTAGTTATGTGAACTTCCGTATTTTTCAATTTTTTTAAGATTTCACTTTCATGTCTAACTTTCAAATTTATTCAAACCTTCTTTGCGATATCATTTTTATTTTCAAACTCACTAATTTCTCATTGCTTTGCAGTTTATTTAAGATTTCACTTTAATTTTTGAATTTTTGGAATACAAGTTTTTTACTTGCAAAATAGAAGTTTTTACCATATCTATTATTTACTCTTACATAAGTTGACTTGATTTGCATTTTACTTAGTTCTGTAAACCTTACAATTTTTTTTGGACATTTCACTTTCATTTTCTAGTGTCCCAATTGCTAGAGCCTTCTTCATATTCTCAACTTTCCAATTTCTCAAGCTTTTTTGACATTTAACTTCTATTTTAAAACTTTCCAGTTTCTTTGAAAGGTTATCAACGGTTACTGAAATGAATTCCCCAAAAATTCAAATACTATATTTACATGTTTACATTTTTCCAAGTGACTTTTTTTTTATTTTTTTTCTAGCTTCTAACTTCTCTAACTGTTTTGACATTTCACTTTAATTTTAAAAACTTTCTAATTTTCAAACTTTTTTCAAGTTCTCATAACTTTACAACTTTTTAAATATATTTTTCTCACTTTGACATAAGTTGACTAGTTTTCCATTTCTACTAGCTTTGTAAGCTTCACAGTTTCTATGGACATTTCTCAACGGTTACTGAAATGAATTCCCCAAAAATTCAAATACTATATTTACATGTTTACATTTTTCCAAGTGACTTTTTTTTTATTTTTTTTCTAGCTTCTAACTTCTCTAACTGTTTTGACATTTCACTTTAATTTTAAAAACTTTCTAATTTTCAAACTTTTTTCAAGTTCTCATAACTTTACAACTTTTTAAATATATTTTTCTCACTTTGACATAAGTTGACTAGTTTTCCATTTCTACTAGCTTTGTAAGCTTCACAGTTTCTATGGACATTTCACTTTAGTTTTCAAACTTTCCAGTTTCTCAAACTTTCAATTTCTCAAACATTTTTTACATATAACTTATATTTTAAACTTCCCATTTTCTTTGAAAAGTTGTAACCGATTTTATCTCAATGGTTTATTTGGTAACTTGACTTTCACATAATTTTCAAATACCATTTTCATATGGTTGCAATTTTCCAAACCTTTCATTTTTTTGAAGTCTACTAATTTCTCTATCTTTTTTGACATTTCACTTTAATTTTAAAATTTCTCATTTTGAAAAATTTTCAGCGATTTAAATAAAAAATAATTTCCACTAAATATTTAAATACCATTTTCAGACGTTTACATTTGTCAAACTTTCCCTTTTCTCAAACTTTTTAAGTTTTTAAAACATTCCAATTTCTCAAACTCTTTAGAGATTTCATGTTGATTTTCGATCTTTCCAATTTCTCAAATATTTTTTCACTTTGACATTAGTTGACATGTTCTGTTTTTGATTAGTTATCTAAACTTTCCTATTTCTCAAACTTTTTTTTGAGATATCATCTTATTTCCAAACATTGCAATATTTCAAAAATTTCCACTTTATTTAAGATATTGCCTTAATTTTTTTAATTTAGGATAAATAAGTTTTTCTTGTTGCAAAATAAAAGTTTTTACAATAGTTTTTTTGTAACTTTGACAAATGTTGACATGTTGACTTGTTTTGCATTTCACTTAGTTCTCTAAACTTGACAATTTTTTTTTTTACGTTTCACTTTCATTATCAAATGTCCCAATTTCCAAAAGCTTCTTCAAGTTTTCGAACTTTCCAATTCTCAAACTTTTTTGACATTTAACTTCTATTTTAAAACATTCCATTCCATTTTCTTTGATAAGCTGTCGATGGTTAAAATATGAAATGAGTTCCCCAAAAGTTACAAATACCATTTTGTTCATTTTTACATTTTTCAAAACCTTTCAATTTTTTCCTATTTTGTTGCTGACCCATTTCTCAAACTTTTTTGACATTTCACTTTAATTTTAAAAATTCCAAATTAAAAAGATTTTCAACGGTTTAAATTACAAAATAACTTCCACCATATTTTCAAGTTCTATTTTCTTGCGTTTATATTTTTCAAACATTCCATTTTGTTTTTCTTGTTTTAAAAAATTTCCAATTTCTCAAACGCCTAATTCCCACCATATCTTTCAGACACTCATCTTTACTCTTCTTTAACTCATGAACTTGCGATAAAAAACTTTTCCATTCCTCTCTTCGAACACCTAATTCCCTCTCAAATGTATCTCTCTCATCTTGAAGCTGAATGCTCTTCTTCTCAAGATCTAAAATATGTAAGCTGAGCTTTTCTACTTCTTTCTTCAATCTAACAATATCCACATCTTGTTTCGTTTTTACATTTTCAAACTTATCCTTCTCCATTGAAATCTGTCTGATCTTTGAACTCAAACCATCCAACTTCATCTTAAGCTCCCCAATCTTTGCTTCAGCCTCCTCCAACACACCAACCTCTTTCTTGATTGCATCGTTCTTACTAAGCAATCGGGTGTTCTGTTCACGATAATCTCCACGTCTTCTCAAGCTCTAGCACATTCAGTTGAAGCTTTTCTACCTCTCTCTCTTCAATTCAAGAATCTCCATCTCTTGCTCAGCTTTCTCCTTTAAAGCCTTATTATTCTCTCGTGAAATCTCTTATATCTTCTTCTTCGATTCTTCCAATTCGAATCTTCAACTCAAACTCTTTCTTCTCCTCTAACTCAATAATCTCGACACTCAACCCTTCTTCTTTGCCCTTCAACATGCAAACCTCATCCTTTGAAACCCTAATATCACCTTCCAATCTCTCTCTAACCGCCAAAGCTCTACGACCCTCTTCTTCCAACGATTCGATCCTTAATAACTTTTTCTTCGAGTTCATCCCTAATCAACTTAATCTCCGCCCGATGCTTTTCGCTGATCTCCTCTTTCTCCACATCCTCCTTGTTGATTTGCAAACACCTTTCTTGCACGTTTCTCAAGTTGAGTTTGAACATTCGATTCTTGGCCATCTCCACTTGTGCAAGCAACCGACTTTTTTTGTCCTTCAAGTGCAACATCCGATCTTTTATGAAAACCGAATATCCCTTCTCCAATAGTTGTCCCATGCTAAGGATGTTACTCTTCAAGTCAGGCACATAATAGACATTCTCAATCGACCCTTCTTTACCATCTTTTTGAAGAAAACAGATTTTACCATCTTTTTGAAATGAGTTTTCCTAAATTTTCAGATATCATTTTCACTTCTTTCATTTTTAATTTTTTTAATCAAGTTTACCAATTTCTCAAACTTTTTTGACATTTCATTTAAATTTTAGAATTTTCCAATTTTTAAAAGATATACACCGGTTTAAATAATAAAATAACTTCCACCAAATTTTCAAATACCATTTTCTAACATTTACATTTTTTAAACTTTCTATTTTCTGAAACTTTTTTCAAGTTTTCAAAAATTTCCAATTTCACAAACTTCTTTGACTTTTCCTTTTAATTTCTCAAACTTTCCTGTTTTCATAACTTTTTAATTTATCAAACTTTTTTAGGATTCGACACAAGTTGGTTCGCTTAGCTATCCAAGCATTCCAAGTTCTCAAACTCTTTTTGAGATTTCACTTCAATATCTAGACTTTCCAATTTCTCAAAACTTTTTTTCCGGGTTGCACTTAGTTCTCCAAAGTTTTCTATTTCTCAAAATTTTTTAAAGACTTCACTTTTGTTCAAACTTTTATTTCCCAACCTTGTTTGAAGATATTACTGTAATTGTCAAACATTCCAGTTTCTCAAACTTGTTTTAATATTTTTTTCACTTTGACTTATGTTGACAAGTTGGCTTGTTTTGCATTTAATTTACTCTCTACACTTACAAACTTTTATGACATTTCACTTAAATTTTAAAAACTTTACTCAATTTCTCAAACTTTCTTTCTGTTTTCAAACTTGCCAAAATTTTGAACTTTTTTTTTCTACATTTGACTTCTATTTTAAAACTTTACAATTTCTTTGAAAAGTTATAATTTCTTTGAAAAGTTATAATTTCTTTGAAAAGTTATCTATGGTTTATATAATAAAACCACTTCTCTCAAATTTTCAGATATTATTTCACATGTTTACATTGATCTAAACCTTTTAATTTTTCAAATTTTTTTCAAGTTTTCAAAACTTTTTTGGAATTTTTTTAAAAGTTGTCAATGATTTATATGACAAAATGACTGTCACATAATTTTTAAATATCATTTTTACATGTTTACAATTTGCCAAACCGTTCAATTTTTCATGCTTACCAATTTCTCAAACTTTTTTTGACATTTCACTTAAAATTTAATATTTCCTATAACAAAATTTTTTCAGCAGTTTTAATTAAAAAAACATCCAATGAATTTTAATATACCATTTTCAGACATTTACAAAATTTTTTCAGCAGTTTTAATTAAAAAAACATCCAATGAATTTTAATATACCATTTTCAGACATTTACATTTGTCGAACTTTCCATTTTCTCAAACTCTTTTGACATTTCATTTTTATTTCTTAAACTCTTTAAGGATTTCATTTTAATTTTCAAACATTCCACTTTCTCAAATATTTATTTCACTTTGACATTAGCTGACTTGTTCTGCTTTCGTTTAGCTATACTAACTTTCCTTTTTCTCAAACTTTTTTTAAGATTTCACTTTAATTATCAAACTTTCCAATGTTTCAAACTTTTTTTGATATATCACTTCTATTTTCAAACTTACCAATTCCTCAAAAATTTCCACTTTATTTAAGATTTCACTTTAATTTTTGATTTTGCGAAATACAAGTACTTACAAAATAAAAGTTTACAATGTCTTATTTTTTCACTCTGACATAAGTTGAGGGGTTGACTTGTTTTGCGTTTCACTTAGTTCTCTAAACTTACAATTTTTTGGACATTTCACTTCCAATTTCAAATGTCCAAATTTCTAAGGCCTTCTTCAAGTTTTCAACTCAATTTCTCTTACTTTTTTGACATTTAACTTCTTTTTTAAAACTTTACATTTTCCTTGAAAAGTTGTCAACAGTTAAATAATTAAATGAGTTCCCCAAAATTTTCAAATACCTTTTTACATGTTTACATTTTTTTTTCAAATCTGTCATATTTTTTCTCAATTTTTGTCAAGCTTACCAATTTCTAAACCTTTTTTGACATTTCACTTTAAATTTAAAATTTTCAAATTTGAAATATTTTTAATAGTTTAAATAATAACATAACTTTAACAAAATTTTCCAGTACCATTTCTTAACGTTTACATTGTTCAAACTTTCCATTTTCTTTATCTTGTTTACAAAAATTTCCAATTTCTCAAACTCCTTTGACATTTCTCTTTAAACTTTCAAGCTCTCACAATTTTCCAATTTTTCGCAAGCATTCTTGAGAGTTCACTTTTATTTTCAATTTATAAAAACTTTCAAACTTTTTTCAAGTTATACTTCACAACTTTTTAAATATTTTTTTCTCACTTTGACATAAGTTGACTTGTTTCATGTTTCTGCCTAGTTCTCTAAACTTTACAGTTTTTTATGGACATTTCACTTTAATTTTCAGACTTCCCAATTGCTCAACCTTTCCAATTTCTCAAACATTGTTTTTATGGACATTTCACTTTAATTTTCAGACTTCCCAATTGCTCAACCTTTCCAATTTCTCAAACATTTTTCACATTTTACTTATATTTTAGAAGTTTCTGTTTTCTTTGAAAAGTTTACATCAGTTTATATGATAAAATGACTTTCACATAGTTTTCAAATACCATTTTTACATGTTTACATTAACCTTTCAAGTTTAATAATTTCTCAAACTTTCTTGACATTTTGCTTTAATTTAAAATTTGACCATTTTGAAAATTTTAAGCGGTTTAAATAAAAAAGCAACATCCATCGAATTTTGAAACACCATTTGCAGAAGTTTACATTTGTCAAACTTTCCATGTTCTCTTTTTTGTAGTTTTTAAAACTTTTCAATTTCTCAATCTCTTTTGACATTTCCCTTTAATTCTCAAACTTTCTTGTTTTCATAACTTTCCAATTTCTCAAACATTTTTGAGATTTCACTTTAAATTTTTAACTTTCCAATTTCTCAAACTGATGTGAGTTAGACTTGTATTGTTTTTGCTTAATTGCCCTATCTTTCCAAGTTCTCAAACTTTTAGAGATCTCACTTTAATTCGTTACACTTTCCAATTTCTCAAACTCCTTTGACATTTCCCTTTAATTCCCCAAACTTTCATGTTTTCATAACTTTCCAATTTCTCAAACATTTTTCAGATCTCACTTTAAATTTTTAACTTTCCAATTTCTTAAACTGATGTAAGTTAGACTTGTATTGCTTTTGCTTAATTGTCCTATCCTTCCGAGTTCTCAAACTTTTTTGAGATTTCACTTTAATTGTTTACACTTTCCAATTTCTAACTTTTTTGTAATTTGACTTTAATTTTAAAAAAATTTCCATATTCTCAAAGTTCTTTTTCCTTTGACATAAGTTGACTTTTTTTTTTTGCTTTCTCTTAGTTCTCCAAACTTTTTTTTATTGCTCAAACTGTTTTTTAAGATTTCCTTTTTAGTTCAAAGTCAAACATTCCAATTTCTTGACTTTTTTTAAAGATTTTACTTTAATTTTTAATCTTTCCAATTTATAAAACTTTTTTCAATTTCTTTTTAAAATTTCACTTTAATTTTTGAACTTTCCAATTTCTCAAACTTAGTTCTCTAAACCTTACAAATTTTTTTTTGTCATTTCACTTTAATTATCAAATATCCCAATTTCTCAAACTTTCCAGTTCTCAAGCTTTTTTGAGATTTCACTTTGATTTCAAAATTTCGTATACTCAAAATTCATTTTCATTTGGACATAAGTTGGCTTTTATTTTTCCGTTTAGTTTTCTAAAAATTTCTATTTCTCAATCTATTATTAAGGTTTCACTTTAATTCAAAGTCAAACTTTCTATTTTCTCAACCTTCTTTGAAAAATTTTACTTTAAATTTCAACGTTTCCAATTTCGATAACTTTTGTCAATTTTTAAAGACTTCACTTTAATTTTCAAAATTTCCATTTCTTAAACTTTGTTCAATACCATTTCGTCCACTTTGACATAAGTTGACAAGTTGACTTGATTTGCATATCAATTAGTCCTCGGCTTTACAAATTTTTTTGTCATTTCATTTTAATTTTAAAACGTCCCAGTTCCTCAAACTTTGTGACAACTAACTTCTAATTGATAAAAACAGATTGCTTTTAAGGAAGAGGAACAAGAACACAACTTTCCTTCTGATTAATTCTTAAACATATATTTTTTCTTCTCTTCTCACTTCACACACTCTCTTTTCATTATCTTAACAGAATAAAACTCTATTAATAAACTCTTAAAACAGAATTCTAAACAACAGTACTTAATTCTGACTCTTCGTTAAAATCTGTCATAACTTATTATAGGGAACTCCAAACGACTGCCCCTTCCACTTCTCATTTAATATCGCCTTGACCGTGTTTGAGTTTATTCTTTAACAAATTCCTCCCTTAAACTCAAACATTTTCAGTCCTTCATTCCAATCATTATCTTACAATTTTCGAATAACATTGTTGGTAGCGGCTTCGTAATGATATCCGCCACTTGGTCCTGACTCGCAACATGACTCGTTCGCACATTACCTTCCTTCAAATGTTCCCGAATAAAATAAAAACGGACATCTATATGCTTTCTCCACTCATGGTGCACCGGATTCTTTGCCAACTCAATTGCCGATTTATTGTCGACTCGTTTTTCGGTTGCCTCGTGTTGCTAGAGTTTTAGCTCGTATAACAAATTTCTTAACCATATTGCATGGCAGTTTTAGCTCGTATAACAAATTTCTTAACCATATTGCATGGCACAAACACCAAGATGCTGCCACATATTCTGCCTCACATATTGACAATGTCACTATTGGCTGCTTCTTGTTCTTCAAGACCTCAATCTCTCTATTCATCTCTTCAAACTTCTCTCCTCTGCTCTTAAAAGCTCCTTTAATCATCTCCATCTCTGCGAATGGACGAATCCTGTCATCATCATCATCATCGACAAAGCCATTCTCTTGAGCATTTTCACCTCCATGTACAGCCTCCGTGGTAGTCTTCAGCAGCGAGAGAACTTTATCGGAAACCACATCAAAATCTTTCATCTTCTTCAACATGAGAGACTTCTCCTTTTCTTTCTCTAGGACAAGAGCATCCGTTGATGCGCTGAGCTCTTTCAGACACTCATCTTTACTCTTCTTTAACTCATGAACTTGCGATAAAAAACTTTTCCATTCCTCTCTTCGAACACCTAATTCCCTCTCAAATGTATCTCTCTCATCTTGAAGCTGAATGATCTTCTTCTCAAGATCTGAAATATGTAAGCTGAGCTTTTCTACTTCTTTCTTCAATCTAACAAATATCCACATCTTGCTTCGTTTTTACATTTTCAAACTTATCCTTCTCCATTGAAATCTCTCTGATCTTTGAACTCAAACCATCCAACTTCATCTTAAGCTCCCAAATCTTTGCTTCAGCCTCCTCCTCCAACACACCAACCTCTTTCTTGATTGCATCGTTCTTACTAAGCAATCGGGTGTACTGTTCACTATAATCTCCACGTCTTCTCAAGCTCTAGCACATTCAGTTGAAGCTTTTCTACCTCTCTCTTCAATTCAAGAATCTCCATCTCTTGCTCAGCTTTCTCCTTTAAAGCCTTATTATTCTCTCGTGAAATCTCTTATATCTTCTTCGATTCTTCCAATTCGAATCTTCAAAACTCTTTCTTCTCCTCAAACTCAATAATCTCGACACTCAACCCTTCTTCTTTGCCCTTCAACATGCAAACCTCATCCTTTGAAACCCTAATATCACCTTCCAATCTCTCTCTAACCGCCAAAGCTCTACGACCCTCTTCTTCCAACGATTCGATCCTTAATAACTTTTTCTTCGAGTTCATCCCTAATCAACTTAATCTCCGCCCGATGCTTTTCGCTGATCTCCTCTTTCTCCACATCCTCCTTGTTGATTTGCAAACACCTTTCTTGCACGTTTCTCAAGTTGAGTTTGAACATTCGATTCTTGGCCATCTCCACATGTGCAAGCAACCGACCTTTTTTGTCCTTCAAGTGCAACATCCGATCTTTTATGAAAACCGAATATCCCTTCTCCAATAGTTGTCCCATGCTAAGGATGTTACTCTTCAAGTCAGGCACATAATAGACATTCTCAATCGACCCTTCTTTACCATCTTTTTGAAGAAAACAGATTTTACCATCTTTTTGAAATGAGTTTTCCTAAATTTTCAGATACCATTTTCACTTTTTTCATTTTTAATTTTTTTATCAAGTTTACCAATTTTTCAAACTTTTTTGACATTTCATTTAAATTTTAGAATTTCCCAATTTTGAAAAGATATACACCGGTTTAAATAATAAAATAACTTCCACCAAATTTTCAAATACCATTTTCTAACATTTACATTTTTCAAACTTTCTATTTTCTGAAACTTTTTTCAAGTTTTCAAAAATTTCCAATTTCACAAACTTCTTTTTCAAGTTTTCAAAAATTTCCAATTTCACAAACTTCTTTGACTTTTCCTTTTAATTTCTCAAACTTTCCAGTTTTCATGACTTTCTAATTTATCAAACTTTTTTAGGATTCGACACAAGTTGGTTCGCTTAGCTATCCAAGCATTCCAAGTTCTTTCGACACAAGTTGGTTCGCTTAGCTATCCAAGCATTCCAAGTTCTCAAACTCTTTTTGAGATTTCACTTCAATATCTAGACTTTCCAATTTCTCAAAACAAGCATTCCAAGTTCTCAAACTCTTTTTGAGATTTCACTTCAATATCTAGACTTTCCAATTTCTCAAAACATTTTTTTCGGCTTTCACTTAGTTCTCCAAAGTTTTCTATTTCTCAAATTTTTTTAAAGATTTCACTTTCGTTCAAACTTTTATTTCCCAACCTTGTTTTAATATTTTTTTTCACTTTGACTTAAGTTGACAAGTTGGCTTGTTTTGCATTTAATTTACTCTCTACACTTACAGACTTTTATGACATTTCACTTATATTTTAAAAACTTTACTCAATTTCTCAAACTTTCTTTCTGTTTTCAAACTTGCCAAATTTTTGAACTTTTTTTTTCTACATTTGACTTCTATTTTAAAACTTTCCAATTTCTTTGAAAAGTTATCTATGGTTTATATAATAAAACCACTTCTATCAATTTTCAGATTTCATTTCACATGTTTACATTGATCTAAACCTTTTAATTTTTCAATTTTTTTTCAAGTTCTCAAAACTTTTTTGGAATTTTTTTAAAAGTTGTCAATGGTTTATATGACAAAATGACTGTCACATAATTTTTAAATAACATTTTTACATGTTTACAATTTGCCAAACCGTTCAATTTTTCATGCTTACCAATTTCTCAAACTTTTTGTGACATTTCACTTAAATTTAAAAATTTCTTATGTCGAAATTTTTTCAGCAGTTTTAATTAAAAAAACATCTAATGAATTTTAATATACCAATTTTAGACATTTACATTTGTCGAACTTTCCATTTTCTCAAACTCTTTTGACATTTCATTTTTATTTCTCAAACTCTTTAAAGATTTCATTTTAATTTTCAACATTCCACTTTCTCAAATATTTTTTTCACTTTGACATTAGCTGACTTGTTCTGCTTTCGCTTAGCTATACTAACTTTCCTATTTCTCAAACTTTTTTTAAGATTTCACTTTAATTATCAAACTTTCCAATGTTTCAAACTTTTTTTGATATATCACTTCTATTTTCAAACTTACCAATTCCTCAAAAATTTCCACTTTATTTAAGATTTCACTTTAATTTTTGATTTTGCGAAATACAAGTACTTACAAAATAAAAGTTTACAATGTCTTATTTTTTCACTCTGACATAAGTTGAGGGGTTGACTTGTTTTGCGTTTCACTTAGTTCTCTAAACTTACAATTTTTTGGTCATTTCACTTCCAATTTCAAATGTCCCAATTTCTGAAGCCTTCTTCAAGTTTTCAACTCAATTTCTCTTACTTTTTTGACATTTAACTTCTTTTTTAAAACTTTACATTTTCTTTGAAAAGTTGTCAACAGTTAAAATAATTAAATGAGTTCCCCAAAATTTTCAAATACCTTTTTACATGTTTACATTTTTTTTTCAAATCTGTCATATTTTTTCTCATTTTGGGTCAAGCTTACCAATTTCTTAACCTTTTTTGACATTTCACTTTAAATTTAAAATTTTCAAATTTGAAATATTTTTAATAGTTTAAATAATAAAATAACTTTAACAAAATTTTCCAGTACCATTTATTGACGTTTACATTGTTCAAACTTTCCATTTTCTTTATATTGTTTACAAAAATTTCCAATTTCTCATACTCCTTTGACATTTCTCTTTAAACTTTCAAGCTCTCACAATTTTCCAATTTTTCGCAAGCATTCTTGAGAGTTCACTTTTATTTTCAATTTATAAAAATTTTCAAACTTTTTTCAAGTTATCATAACTTCACAACTTTTTAAATATTTTTTCTCACTTTGACATAAGTTGACTTATTTCATGTTTCTGCCTAGTTCTCTAAACTTTACAGTTTTTATGGACATTTCACTTTAATATTTCCTATGTCAAAATTTTTTCAGCAGTTTTAATTAAAAAAACATCCAATGAATTTTAATATACCATTTTCAGACATTTACATTTGTCGAACTTTCCATTTTCTCAAACTCTTTTGACATTTCATTTTTATTCCTTAAACTCTTTAAGGATTTCATTTTAATTTTTAAACATTCCACTTTCTCAAATATTTTTTTCACTTTGACATTAGCTGACTTTTTCTGCTTTCGTTTAGCTATACTAACTTACCTTTTTCTCAAACTTTTTTTAAGATTTCACTTTAATTATCAAACTTTCCAATGTTTCAAACTTTTTTGATATATCACTTCTATTTTCAAACTTACCAATTCCTCAAAAATTTCCACTTTATTTAAGATTTCACTTTAATTTTTGATTTTGCGAAATACAAGTACTTACAAAATAAAAGTTTACAATGTCTTATTTTTTCACTCTGACATAAGTTGAGGGGTTGACTTGTTTTGCGTTTCACTTAGTTCTCTAAACTTACAATTTTTTGGACATTTCACTTCCAATTTCAAATGTCCCAATTTCTAAAGCCTTCTTCAAGTTTTCAACTCAATTTCTCTTACTTTTTTGACATTTAACTTCTTTTTTAAAACTTAACATTTTCAAACACCTTTTTACATGTTTACATTTTTTTTCAAATACCTTTTTACATGTTTACATTTTTTTTCAAATCTGTCATATTTTTTCTCATTTTGGGTCAAGCTTACCAATTTCTTAACCTTTTTTTTGACATTTCACTTTAAATTTAAAATTTTCAAATTTGAAATATTTTTAATAGTTTAAATAATAACATAACTTTAACAAAATTTTCCAATACCCTTTCTTAATGTTTACATTGTTCAAACTTTCCATTTTCTTTATCTTGTTTACAAAAATTTCCAATTTCTCAAACTCCTTTGACATTTCTCTTTAAACTTTCAAGCTCTCACAATTTTCAAATTTTTCGCAAGCATTCTTGAGAGTTCACTTTTAGTTTCAATTTATAAAAATTTTCAAACTTTTTTCAAGTTATCGTTACTTCACAACTTTTTAAATATTTTTTTCTCACTTTGACATAAGTTGACTTGTTTCATGTTTCTGCCTAGCTCTCTAAACTTTACAGTTTTTATGGACATTTCACTTTAATTTTCAGACTTCCCAATTGCTCAACCTTTCCAATTTCTCAAACATTTTTCACATTTTACTTATATTTTAGAAGTTTCTGTTTTCTTTGAAAAGTTTACAACAGTTTATATGATAAAATGACTTTCACATAGTTTTCAAATACCATTTTTACATGTTTACATTTTTTCAAACCTTTCAAGTTTACTAATTTCTCAAACTTTCTTGACATTTTGATTTAACTTTTTTGTGATTTCACTTTGATTTTAAAAATTTCCATATTCTCAAAGTTCTTTTTCCTTTCACATAAATTGTTTTTTTTTTGCTTTCTCTTAGTTCTCCAAATTATTTTTATTTCTCAAACTATTTTTTAAGATTTCCTTTTAGTTCAAAGTCGAACATTCCAATTTCTCGACTTTTTTTAAGGATTTTACTTTGATTTTCAATCTATCCAATTTATAAAAACTTTTTTCATTTTTGTAAATTTCACTTTAATTTTTGAACTTTCCAATTTCTCAAACTTTGCGCAATACCTTTTTTTTATCGCTTTGACATAAGTTGACTTATTTTGCATTTCACTTAGTTCTCTAAACCTTACAATTTTTTTTTTGTCATTTCACTTTAATTATCAAATATCCCAATTTCTCAAACTTTCCAGTTCTCA